AAAAGATTCTGCTTTTAATCCCATGCCTTGAACGTTCAGGTTTTTTTAGTGGGAAAAGAGAGTGCAGAGGCAAATAACCTGAGAAAGTCAGGTTGCAACAGCTATCCGGGTTACATATCTCCATAACTCCTTGCCAATCCTAAGGCTATCTATGCCTTGTCACCATGGCGGGTCCAGGTCTATCCCAAGCCTCCAATGGCATTTACTTGTGAAAATAAATAAAGACTAATCAAATGAGAACAAGCAAAGGCTATTTATTCTGAACGTGCTATAGCAAGGGCGTCAGCCACCGTCATTTGCATTTTGGCAGACTCAAAAAGGTAGGCAGAGGAGTGGGAAAATCTTATAGTGGGAAAGAAAGGAAGGCTTCAGGTGTGCCCTGATTGGAGGTTACTGGCATAGCAAGCTATAGGAGGGCTAATTAGAAAATGGGTATCTTATAGGAGTTGTTAGGGGAGAATATGTGGTTTTCTCTGGTTAGTCCTAAGTTGCAAGCAAAGACAAAAATTAGGGAATCTGTCAGTTATTAAAGTCCTCACCATTTGGGGCTGATTATTATAATGATATTGTTTGGCTTCTTAGATTGTTATTAGAGATAGCAACCTGGCTTACTACAAGTCTAACATAGCAGGCTAGCTTCCTGGACTGGTTATTGTAGATATGGGTTGATTTCCTGGGAAGGTTACTACCGGTTGTGGGTCAAAGTTCTGCTTTTTTAAAATAGAGACAGGGTTGAGCTCTGTTGCCCAGGCTGGACTTCAGTGGCATGATCATAGCTCACTGCAGCCCCAAACTCCTGGGCTCAAGCAGTCCTCCCACCTTGACCTCCCAAAAGGCTGGGATTAAAAGCATGAGCCACCACATGCAGGTGAGAGTTCTATTTTTATACATGATCTGGCTGGTATTAGTTTGTATATTCAGCCTCTCATCCTCAACAAATATTTATTGAGTAGCTACTAAATGCCAGTCACTTTGCCAGATGCTACAGTAACAGAAATGAAATTACATCTTCCTTGCTTTCAGGATTTACAGTCTCATGGGAGACATAGACAAAGAGTTCTGCCTTAGAAATCAGTGACCAGGTTTCCTTGCATTGGACTCCTAGATTATCTCCCTGGAGGCAACCCTGGGAATATTTTTCATGAATCTAGTAATAAAATTATTTTCTTAGTCTGTTCAGACTTTTATAATAAATACCATAGACTAGGTGGCTTGTAAATGATAGATGTTTATTTCTCACAGTTCTGGAAGCTGGGAAGTCCAAGATCAAAGTACAAGCAGATTCAGTGTCTAATGAGGGCCTGCTTAGACAGCCATCTTCTCACTCCACTCTTACATGGCAGAAGGAGTGAGGAACTCTCTTGTGCTTTTTAAAATAAAGGCACTAATCACCTTCTGACACAATCACCTTGGGGTTAGGATTTCAACATACAGTATGAATTTTAGAGGAACACAGATATTCAGACCATAGAGATTATGAATTGAGGAACTTCAGCAATCCTTATAATAAAAATATCTTAAGACTGGTGATTAAAATGTCACTGTTAATTGCTGCTGTTCTCTATAGTGTATGAACCAAGATTGGGACTGGTGGATATGGCAGAGCCATTACTCTGAATAAATTGTTTACCTGAGGTTCCTGCTGTGACTGCATGCAGGAATGACTTTATTCAAAGATAATTCTTCACCAAGGTATAACGTTAGGTATAGGTAAGGAAGTAGTAATTAGATCAGCTGGTGCAGACAATCCCAGTGTCTACAGCTGAAAATACTTAAGCTGTCCAGAAGCTCTTCTATTGCAAGTGGACAGTCTGAACACCAAACTCATTTCTCCTGAGGCTAAGCCTTCCAAAGGTAAACTGGAATCATTCTTCAAACACATAATCCTTTAAACAAATAGTTGTGTTTCTGAATTATTCCAGTTTGTCACTATATCTTCTAACCCATTCTTCTTAGAAACCAAAGCACACAATGATGTGGAGGAGGGCTCTGGTAGAGAAAGGTAGGTCACAGTAAGGAGGCTGAAACCACACTCAGATGATAAATGACAGGATGTAGACAGTGGTATGGACAAGAAAGATGAAAACCCAGACTGAAAAGAAACTGCCAGACAGGAAGAGAGCACAAAAAGAGTGGTATTATAGAATGTGAGTGTCTTAGTCTATTTTGTGCTGCTATAACAGAATACCACAGACTAGGGTATTTTTAAAACAAACAAAAAAAATTATTTTGCTCACTGTACTGGAGGCTGGGAAGTTCAAGAGCATAGTGCTAGTCCCTGACAAGGGTCATCCCAAAGAGGACAGGCGGAAGGCAGAAGCAACTGCATGAGGCAGAGAGATGAAATTAGACTGAACTCATTGTTTTATCAGAAAGCCACTCCCAAGATAACTAACTCACTCCTGCCATGATGGCTTTAATCCATTTGTGAGGTTCTGGAAGCTGGGAAGTCCAAGATCAAGGCACCAGCAGATTCAGCGTCCAATGAGGGCCTGCTTCCTCATAGACAGCCATCTTCTCACTCCACTCTTACACGGCAGAAAAAGTGAAGGTGAAGCCTAATCATCTCTTAAAGGTCCCACCTCTTAATACTGTTACTTTTTTATATGTAAGAGATCTGAATATATTAGTGTACTGAGGAGATAGACCCCAAGGAAGGAAAAGATTGAAGGTAGAAAACAGGGAGAATTAATAAAAGCAGAGAAGATGATGAGTGATTCAGGTGGAGGGATTACCTTTAAACAGAAGTATGTGGCTTTCTCATACAGCAGAAAAAACGTAGGTGCCAGGCCACAAGCATCTCTCACCCAGACCACTGCCACTCTCCTTGTTCATCTCCTAATTTCTATTCTTCGCCTTACAATTTATTCTCCATTCAGTGGCCTAAGTGAGCTCTCAGAATATATATGGATTCATCTTCTGCTATTACTTAAATATCTTCCAATGCTTCCTGTTATGTCCAGAATAAAATCTAAATTCCCTAACTTTTCCTGTGTGCTTGGCTTTTGCCTACTTCTTCACCCTAATTCAGCACTTCTCTCCCTCTTGCTCAATTACTCTAGTCTCACTGGACTTCTTTCTGTTTTTCAAAACCAAGACCTTCCTTGCCTCAGGACTTTGCACTTGGTCCCTCAGCCTTGAACATTTTTCTTTCAGCTATTCTCTGAGCTCATAATTCAGACTTAAGCTTAACTTATCTCATGTAAGCTGCTCCTAGTTACTCATCATGATATTCTCTTCATAGCACATTTAGCGCCCTGGATTCATTTTATTTATTTTCTTATTTGAGAATGTCTGTTTTTTTCCACCAGAATATAAGCCATAAGAGGTAGGATCTTTGTTATTCTTTTTTTACCAAATTATCCCTGATGGCTGGCATATTATGGGAATTCAGAAAATATGTATTAAACGAATGAACAAACTGGTAAAAGTGATGAAGGTAGCCAGAGGATTGATCCAAGATCAGGAGTTGCCGAACAAGTTCAATAGCAGGACCAAGAGCAAGAGAAAGGTTAAAGTGATTTAATTGGGAGTCTGGAATAGATATTTGAATATTTTTAGCTGCTCTTCTTTTTTCCTATTGCATAGCACTACTGGGGTATAGTGCTCCCTGACTCACCACAGAAGGGTCATCCCTCTACCTGTCACCTAACAGCCAAGGTGTGGACATTTGACCTAGATTCACCATTTGGATATTCCCATCTGTCTGGGGGCCAGTAGCATTGGCATCACCTGGGAGCCTTAGAAATGCAGAATCTCAGGGCCCACCCAGATGTACTGAATCTGCATTTTAACAAGATCCTACATGATTTATACATATGAAAGTTTGAAAAGCACTAGCTTAGAACACATTCATACTTGTGCAGTTGAGCATCCAGCAGTAGCAACATCCAAAGGAGCAAGGAGATATATCCTTATCAACTAGTTCTTGTGGCATGCTTAGTCATGGGTCCTGCTCCCCACCCATCCTTGGTTCTTGTCTTTCTCCACCAGCTACTCACACAATGCTGTGTAATAAACAATCATAAAATCTCAGGGACCTATAATAAAAAGCATTGTTTCTTGCTCATAGATATGCCAGTTACCTGGGGATATCTGTTTCAGGCTGCAGTGTATAAATTGACTGGAATATCTTTATTGCACCAGTCTTTCATTCTTCTGGGACTAGCAGATTTACCCAGAGAACGCATGTTCTATGATGGACACTCTCAGGGTGAGTGGAAACACAAATGCTTCTAAGGCTAGAGGCATACTGTCTCTTCCTCCAATGCTTCAGTGGCCAAAGAAAATCACATGGGAAAATCCAATGTCATATTTCTCCCGTGGAGGTTGATAGAGGATAAGAAATAAATTTTTACTGAATGACAAACCAAACACATGCCACCTCTTTTCCAAGCCCAGTTTCTAAATTTCCCACTGCTTTTTGAAACCCCTCAATATGCTTCCAGTAGCTTCCTTTTCTGCTGAAGTTAGCAAGAGTCAGTTTCTATTGCTTGAACTCTAAAACTCTCACTGATTCACTTCCCGGAGGAAGTCCAGGTCAAATAAGGAAGGAGGTGGAGTCCAGGGATGCAGCTGTCAGACCTTGGAGAAGAAGTACTTGGAGACTAGAGTGCACAAGATGGCTCAAAAGGGATTAAAGATCAATGGAGAGATGGCAGATTTTAACCAGAGACTAAAATACTGGAGTTTAAGTGACTCAATGTATAGCTACAGGAATGAGTTCCTGAAACAAGTCTCCCATGTGGTTATAAAATGGGGAGGAAGGCAGCAAATCACACTGCCACGTGTGTACCTATGCAACAATCTTGCATGTTCTTCACATGTACCCCAAAACCTAAAATGCAAGAAAATAAATAAATGGGAAAAAAAATAAACAAATCTTAAAAAAAAAAAAAAACACTTAGGATTCTCCAGCAATACACACCAATAGGATATATAGATATAGTTACATAGATTTATAAGAGGAGATTTACTGGAATTGGCTCATGTGCTTATGGGGGCTGATGAGTTCCACAACAGATCGCCTCCACCTTAGAGACCCTGGGATACTGATGGCATATCTCAGTCCAAGCCCAGACGTCTCAGAACCAGGGAAGCTGATTGTGTACCTCTCAGTCTGAGGTGTAAGGTCTGAGAAACTGGAGGACTGCTGGTGTAAGCTCTGGAGTCCAAAGGCTGGAAGACCAGGAGTTTTGTTGTCTAAGGACAGGAATAGAAGAGTGTATCCCCGCTCGAGCAGCTGGACACATTAGCCTTTCCTCTGTTTTTGTTCTCTCCGGTCCCCCGGCCAATTAGATGGTACCTGCCCACATTGAGGGCAGATCTTCCTCCATCTAGTCTACTCAGATCCGTACTCTAATCATTCCTGGAAACACCCTCACAGATATACCCCAAAATATGCTTTACCAATTTTCTAGGCATTCGTTAATCTGCTCAAGGTGAGACCTAAGATTAACCGTCACAGATGGAGACAAAGTCTGGATTAGAGAGAAGGTGAGTCAAATGCCACATTCTACCTGCACACTATACAGAAAAGTGACAAGAGGGTCATATGTCATGAAAGAGACAGGAGGAAAGAGAAGACTATGGTTTTTTGAGTGCTAGGCTCTATAATGGATATTTTACAATCATCGCCCCCTGTAATCTTCACAAAAATTATCCAATGTATTTTACAGGTGAGGAAACCAAGGCTCATATTAAGTTAAATAATTTGCCCAGTGTAACCCAGCCAGTAAGAGGGGGTACAGTGGGGATTCAAGTCCAGTCTGACTACAAAGTCTGTGCTGCTTCCCATTAAACCATACAGTGTAGAAGCTTCCAGTGGGTCAGTGGGAGCAGGTAAGTCTAAGTGCTGGTTCTGTTGTATAATAAGTAGAACATGGGAACATGTCAACCTCCCCTGCAGAGGTTGCAAGGATAGTTGTCCTCAGGGGCAAGACAGGTGTCAGTTAAGGATGGGATGAAATGAAAGGCTATACAGGCAGGGAAGTTTCCCTACAATTGCAACACAGGTTTGGAGAAAGGAGGTCAGCAGTGAAAGATGAGCCCAAGAGGAAGACTTGCAGAAATAGGGAGATGAAAGCCCTGCACTGCAGGAAATGGGGAGAGCTTGCATTTTTATATGGCTGAGGATGAAGAAATGTAGAGGCATGGAACTGCTTTGCATCAAAGACCAAGATCATTCTCTACAGGGGAGCAATAGTGATCCTGCTAAATCATTAATCAGAGCATTTTATGTCTCTATTCAAAATGCTGCAAGAGTTTTCAAAAACACTCAGAATAAAATCCAAAGTCCTAACCAAAGCCTACAAGGAGCCTACATGATCTGGCTTCCACTGAAATACTTCCAGATTTAAATTCCTGCTCATGCCCCTTGCTTACCCGACTCAAGTCATGCCTGCTTCCTCACTGTTCCTCAATGTACAGAGCACACTCCCACCTCAGGACTCTTGCACTGGCTGTTCTCACTGCCTAGAACATACTTCCACAGAATGCTCCATTGATCAGAGGCCTTTTCTGATAACCCAACATACCCATGCCCTTGCCCATGTTTTGTTTTTCTTCTTAGCACTTATTAGCAACCAAATTTATTTATTTAGTTATTGTTTGTCTCCCATCCCACCATGAGAATGCAAGCTCCATGACAAGGGATTTTTGTCTGTTTTTTTTTGTTTGTTCGTTTTAGAAAATCATGTTTATTTTCCACCAGCCTTATTTCCACATTGCTTAAGAGCCTGTGGAAGAACAGCTTTAAGCTCACTTAGTGGTTGTTCCTATGTATTCAGTGGCCTGAGCAGTGGGATCTACAGACCAGTCTTCTGGGGCAGGTTAAGCGCTCCAGTCTTCGGTAGGGAACTGCTGAATAGGCACAGAGGGTACCTGAACACCTTCAAACCAGCCTGCAACCTCAGGCTGAGTAGCAGTGAACTCAGGAGCTAGAGCAGTCCGTTCACCTTGAAATTCCTCCTTTGTCATGGTGTTTTCAGCAGCATCCTGATCTTCTTTTTCAGTCTCTTCAGGATCTCTGTAGAAGCAGAGATCAGGCATGACCTCCTACGAATGTTCACAGGAGATGGTGCCATGCATGCTCAGAACTTCCTGGGCCAGCCTCCACCACATCAGACCCACTGAGTGAGCTTTCATGTTGCAAGGAATGGCAACATCTACATAGTGCAGAGAAGAATCTGTATTACACAGAACAATGATATGCAGGTTAACATAAGATGCCTCTGTGACAGGCTGGTCATCAGCCCTGAGATCAGTAAACACCAGAAGATGTGGCTCCCAGAAGGCTGCCAGTGGATCTGGTTAGTGAAGTTTTCAGAAGCGAAGTAACCAGAAATTGGAATGGCTCCCATGGCAGCAGCAAACTTCAGCATGACCTGCTGGCCAAGATTCCTGGAGGATATGACACTGAGATCAGTAGGGTTTTCAATGGCAACAATGGCACAAGCTGCCAGCAGAAGCCTCTCCCAGGTCCTCTTCAGATTTATGATGTAGATGCCATCACTTTTCCTTTTATAGATGTGCTGTTCCATTTGGAAGTCAAGGTTGGTGCCACCTAAATGGGTTCCTGCTGCAAGGAACTTGAGGACATCCTCCTCTTTCATTTGCAGAACATTAAGAACTCCAGACATTGTGAACATTTCCCTATAAGTTAGGATGGCAAGCCAGAACAACATTGTATGGACCCCTCTCTGGGTAGCGTGAAAAGGGATTTGGTATGTTTTTTGTACTACTGCATGCCTAGTCCCTAAAACAGCCACTGACTTATAAGGAGGTGCTTGGTTAACACTGTCGAATGAAATAAATGGAGATCAAATTAAACTGGCTAGTCAAAAGATTCTGAATAGAACACTGGAATAAATGTGATTTCACTGGAGCTGATATAGATGTCTGCCTATTGGAGAACATTTAATTTCCTCTCTCAGCTGGCTCCTGGGGGCATTAGGTGGGCAGAAAATAAAGGGCATCTCCATGTGCTTGAGTGGGTGGAGGGGAAGTTGATTATAACCTGCCCTTGACTCCTGGTGGCAAAGTCTCCCTTTGGATGAGTCATTTCCACTAAAGGCTAAGTTGATCCATTAATAGCTTCATTTTTATAATGCTTTTAAAATCAGAAAAAAATTATAAAAGTTAATATATGGCATATGTAGAGAGAGATCTTGTGGAGTTTTTTGTTTTGGTTTTGGTTTTGATTTTGGGATGGAGTCTCACTCTGTCTCCCAGGCTGGGGTGCAGTGGCGCTATCCCGGCTCACTGTAGCCTCTGCCTCCTGGGTTCAAGTGACTTTTCCACCTCAGCCTCCCGAGTAGCTGGGATTACAGGCACCTGCCACCACACCCAGCTAATTTTTGTATTTTTAGTAGAGACGGGGTTTCGCCATGTTAGCCAGGCTGGTCTCAAACTCCCGACCTCAGGTGATTCACCTGCCTCAGCCTCTCAAAGTGCTGGGATTACAGGCGCAAGCCAGGAATATGGAACATTACTGAAATGCTATAATGTCAACATCATATTCCCTTTTTCTCAGCCTGTGTCTCAGCAGTTGAGCCATTTTACCCATGGGGTGATTCAAACCATAGGGTTACTGTAGTCTTCTACTAGATTTTATTACTGAATATTTCATTCTTAGGGAGTATTCCAGAGGCCCACCTGTGCTCAGACATACTCTTCCCTCACTCAATTTTGTAGCAGTATTCCTATTTCCCTTTGATAATCTGGACCAATTACCCCAGCCAAATGGTAATCCCCTTTTGGGCCTCTTAATCCAGGTGCATGAGGAATACAAAATGATCAGGTGACAGTTTCAGTTTTCCATTCAGTGGAGCCCTTATTTTGTCCAATGGTGGAAACATTAATTCTTTGGGTACAGAGACCTCTAAATCAGTAATGCCAAAAATGGAAAGAATAGGAAGCAAACATTTTGTAAGTAAGTTGTCTTAGTCCATTTTTGCTGCTATAACAGAATACCACATACTGGATAATTTACAAAGAAGAGAAATTTATTTGACTCATGGTTCTAGAGGCTGGGAAGTCCAAGAGCAAGGTGCCAACATCTGGTGAGGGTCATCCTGTGCTGGAAGGCATCGTATAATGAGGAGACATGCATGCAGGAGGCAGAGTGGGATGGAGGCTGAACTTCATGTTTTTTTTATTTCTTAACTTCATGTTTTTACCAGAAGCCCACTCTCATGATAATTAACCCTCTCCTGCAATCACAGCATTAATCCCTTAATGAGGGTAGAGCCTTCGTGGACTAATCACCTCTGAAAGGCACCTGCCTAAATCACCTCTTTAATTGCTAAAATGTATTTACTAATTAAATTTCCAGCTTGGAAACTTTTTTTTTCTTTTTCTTCTTTATTTGCTTGTGAACCTTTTGCGGACACATTTGAACTATAATATGAATCATTAGATATAATATTTAAAAATAACACTACCACTTTCACCCCCTTGATTCCCAGATACATGAATTCTGACTGTAGGAGAAACAGCACCATATATTATTAATAGTTACTTGTTCAGACCTTTTGCAGCACCCACTCCTCTTGCCTGACTTCTCCAGTTGTCTTCCAGCTGGCTCAGTACCTGAGTCTGAATAGCCCATTTAACCATTCTGTATACCCAGTTGTTTCTAGGTAATGAGACACATGATAAGATCAGCAATTTCTGCATGTGCCAGCCCATTGTCTTGCTTCTTTCTTAGCCAGAAACAATGTTGTGCAGAATATCATGGCCAGGAATAAGGTATCCAGTAATTTTGAGGAGGGTGTTTGAAACAGAAGCATGTTGGCTAAGCAAGCAGGACAAATACATATTTAAAATAAATGTCTATTCTAGTATGGGCAATACATTGACACGAATCCAGTAAACCTGACACCAGGTGAGTGGCTGGTCTTCTTAGATTATGTTGCCATATTAGGTGCTCACCATTGGTCTTTGCTGCTGATAGATTGGGCACTCAGCCGTAGTGGAAGCTAGGTTGGCCTTGATGATGAGAGACCATAGAACTGAGCCCAAGCATAGCCTCCATCTCTGCTGTCATGGCCACTTAGTTCATAGACTCATTGTGCAAGCTGGGCAAAAAGCTAACTGAAATCCAGAGTAGCTAATCTCATCTTATCAATTATTGAGAGTCTCATCCCCTGTGGAGGTTTTCTGGTGAGTGTTCACGTTGCACACAAATATCCTCACATTCTGAAACCACACCTCTTTCTCAGACTCCCTTGTCCCCTGCTCTCTGGAGCTGTTTCTCCCAAATTTCTTGTTTGACTGGCCAGACCATTAACCACTGCTTATTAATTGCTATACATTCATACTTCTCCTTCTAGGCAAAGAGGAAATAGAGTATACCAATAACGTTTTGCCCATTGGGCAGATTTCTCTTCACGCCTGTCTTTAAGGCCCACTCTGAGCAGGGCTCTAATGCTGCTGAGTTCATTTCTTACTACTGACAGAATATTGTAAGGGTTTTCCTCTTCAGTCAGCTGGCCACAAGGAACAACCCAAGAGTCCAAAGGTGTGTCTTGAGGAATAGGTAGATTGCTCTGAAATGCATCCAAAAAGCAAGATGAATTTGCAAATACATAGAGAAATGAACAGATAATGTGCAAAAAAAAACCAAATATAAGAAAATGGGACAGGCACAGCAGCTCATACCTGTAATCCCAACACTTTGGGAGGCCAAGGCGGGTAGATCACCTGAGGTCAGGAGTTTGAGACCAGCCTGGCCAACATGGTGAAACCCTGTCTCTACTAAAAATACAAAAAAAAAAGCCGGGCATGATGTTGCACACCTGTAATCCCAGGTACTCAGGAGGCTGAGACAAGAGAATTGCTTGAACCTGGGAAGTGGAAGTGGCAGTGAGCCAAGATTGTGCCATTGCACTCCAGCCTGGGTAACAGAGCGAGACTTTATATCAATATAAATATGTATACATATATATATATATACACATGTATATATATATATGTGTGTATATATATGCATATATACACACATATATGCATATATATACATATAAGAATATGGTAATGGTAGACTAGGTGATAGGTATATGGATGCTCACTGGACAAGTCTTTTTTTCTGTATGTTTAAAAATGTCTATAAAATGTCAAAAATAAATGCACTGGAAATACTGAACAAACCCTGTTCATTTAACTGAATTGTGCCTCATATAGTTGTTTAAGCCCAATTGTATACATACTACTTCTGCTTGATGATGAAGTTCTGCTAGGCATACTCTATGTCAGGGCATGGTAAATCACCCAGTTTATGCTGATAATTCAGATCTCACAGTCATTTAGTGTACTATATTCAGGTGCTCAGTCTCTATCAGCCTCTAGCAAACTATAGCCTTGGAAAGAGAATAGTGATTTTCCCAACAGAATTTTATTTTGCTCCAAAATCCTAAGGGGCTATGCTATGATTCTTCTATCTAGGCTTTTCACAACCTTTATACATCATCCCAATCTGCCACAAATACTTCAAGGACTATTTCATACCTTAGGTCATAAGAGCTGGGTGCTAAGCAGTTTCAACAAGCCAAAATTTCTCTTATTCTTCAGTTCATTGAAGTCTGGCCCCCTTACAGTTTACTTAGTCAATGGGCTAGAGAAAGGTTACTAAGTAAATACAGCATATGTTGTCGCAAAAATCCAGAATAATCTGTCATGCATTGCTTTTTCTTAAAGGTAGGAATGCAGGGTATTTTTCATTTTACAACTTGTTATTCATTTTGAAGATGTCAGCTAATGTTCCCTAGGGCATTAGATTCCCAAACATTTCCATGAGGGAACACATTGGAATTCTTGTGGGATTTCACAACCACCTTTCAGCAGGCATGTATCTCATCAGAAAGTTGAGAATACCTGCTATTTCCTGCTCTCTGGTCCTATCAGAATGAATGTCATTAATATATTGGATCAAAGTAATATTCAGTAATATGGTGAGATACTCATGTCCATAGGGACAAAATTATGACCACGTTGAGCCAAGAAAATAGAGATAAATAACTGATCCTTCCAGGTAAAAGCAATTGCCTCTAGTATTATCTGCTTATCAGGAGATAGAAAAAAAGGCAATTTCAAGATCAATTGCAACCTTCCAGGTATGAGGCGCTGGGCTAATTTTTCTCTGTTAAAGAGAATCACCAACTCGAACTGAAATTACTACCTGATTAAGCGTATGGTAATCCAATAAAATTCTCCAAGACACACACTAAATAGGTGAGTGAAATGGAGATGTGGTAAGCATCACTACTTACAAGTATTTCAAGTCTTTTTGGTACCTAATCACCACAATTCCAAAGGAATACAATATTGTCTTTAGTTTATAACTTTGATCGGGAGAGGAATCTCCAAGTACTTACACTTGACCCTTTCTACCATAATAGAAATGATTCCATGGATCAAAGAACAATGTTTATTTTTCTACCAGTAGCTGAATATTTCTGCTTCAACTATGAACTCCAGAACTAGGAAAATAAACATAGGATGGATATAAAACTCATTGGGCCACTGTGAGAAGAATGCTAGCACAAACGTTATCACTTAGCTCTCATAAGTCCCATCCTGACTGGGGGACGACTGTGGAATTCAGTTTTCTCAGGGATTAACTTTGCTTCAGAGCCAGTAACTAATCATTCCTGAAAGATCTGGATGTTTGTCTTCCCTGGGGTTCAGTTACCATGGTAAATAGGCCTGAGTCTTCTTGGGAAAGAGGGGGAATAAGAGTTGTATATATCTAAGTTACCACAGGGTTCTTCTCCAGGGTCTCTGATCTCTCCTTCATTCAAGGGGTGCTGGGTCATTG